GACAGAGCGAAGGCTGCCACTCCTCTACAGGCGGGAGGGGTCTGAAGGGAAGGTCACAGACCTCAGGAGGTCAGGCCAGGGTGAAGCATGGTAACCTTTGACCCACTGATCAGGCGCCCTTGCTCTGACTGGCCGGTCCGGTCCAGGAAGATCCGGGTGAGGGAGGTAGGCGGGAGGCCATGGAGACTGAGGTCCAGCGGGTGCCCACGTCCCCTCAGAGGGGGCAGAGACCTCCGCAGTGCTCCTGAGCTGCAGAGGGGGGGCGAAGTGGACAGGCAGTGGACAGAGACCTGCACATGACGGCTGAAGTCCCTGGGGATGTGGGCCCTGCTGCACGCGGCCCTCAGAGCGTGGGTCATCCAGTGCTGGTGGAGGCAGGTTCTGGCGAGGCTAGTGGAGAAGAAGTGGCAGGCGGCGCTGGACTGCCACACACGTGAGCAACGGGCAGCTGTGAAGCTGCAGTCCTGGTTCCGTATGTGGCGTCTGCAGAAACGTTACTGGCATTTTCTCAACTCGGTCCGCATCATCCAGGTCTACTGGCGCTGGCGTAATTGCCACACCCGGGGCGTTCTCAAGGGCAACTACGAGCTCACAGCTCACCAGCTCGGCCTCCAGCTGGACATCTTCCTGGGGTCACAGATTTGCCGCATCACCGACTGCATCCCCTTCCCAATAAAGAACTGACCAGGTCTGCTCCAGCTGTGTGTCCGCCTCTCTGTTAGAACAGCCGCGGGCAGAGGAGTATCGAGGACCTGGCGCTGGATGGGCAGGCCCTGTGGTTTCTGAACAATCTCTCTCACAGACTGGAGGGTTGGGGTTGTAGGGTGGCCACACTGGCTAACCACAGGGGGACTCTTGGAGAGTGGTCTATGTCAGCCTACGCCAGCCTTTCTCCTGACCCCTTCAGTGTCTTAAAGTCAATTGTAGGTCAGATTTCAAAGCCCTCCTGTGGTCTGCTTTCACCTGCATGGCCTGGCTCTGCACTCCACCCTCTCACCGTCCTCTCTGGACTCTATTTTCTTCTTCTTCTTCTTTTTTTTTTTTCCGAGAGGTTTTTACTATAGAGTTCATGCGCTTGCCAGACAGAAATAGATACAGAAAGCAAGAAATCACCCCCGGGAGGGAATGGCCACACCACAATCCATTCTCTTCCAGTCTCCTCTCAGGACCTTGGGTGCACAGGCACATGCACCTGGGGTGAGTTTTAATCCGCCAGATTCGGGACTCGAACTACGGTGGAGCACATGGGAGTTCAGTGACGTAACCATTATGCCCTCTGCTGGTCCCGGCCCCTGCTATTTTCAAATTCTCTGAAGGTCTTCCCTGCTCAGAGCTTCCGCATGTGCCGTCTGCTCTCTCTAGCATGGTCTTCCCTCAGACGGAGCCCCCACTTGGTTCAGGTTTGCATTGGCAGATGGTCGACCCCTCCTCGGGGTCTCGAAGCCACCGATGTAAGTACTTTCCCTCTCCATGTACAGTTCCGCTGGGGCCCCTGACCGCACTTTCCTGTTTACAAAGTCTGTACCACACTGAGGTGATCCTACCTGACGTGGTTTGTTTTCTGCCCGCCCCCTGCTCGCACTAGAGGCGGAGCCTAGGAGAGCCGACCTCTGGCCTCAGCGTGTCCCCAGGACCTAGAACAGCCTGAGCCAAGTGCTCCTCTCTGTCCCCAACACAGACCTAAACCATGCAGATGGGGTGACGCAGGTATTGACACAGAGCTGCCAACCAGCCAGTTTATTGCTAGACCTCTGTCAAGTCCTTAAGCCCCAGGAGGCAATGTTATGCCCAAGAGTCCCCAGGCCAAGCACCAGGCCACTAGAGAACTATGCTATAGCTTAGAGCCCAGCAAGATCATTCCAACCAGCCAGCCGTAAGCGTCCACCCTGCCCTGACTTACCTTCCCCACAGAAACCCCATTAGAGAGCCAGCCTGGGCTCTGCCTAGCACCTGTCTTCTGCCACCGAGCAAAACCTGGAGCCTCTCTGTAACCCTGTGTGGCACGTGGTGACCCCTTTCCAGGACCTGGGTGTTTTTTTTTTTTTTTTTTGGAGAGATTTTCACTGTAGGGCGCGTGCGCTCGCCAGACAGACAGAGACAGACATAGAGACAGAAGGCGAGAAATCACCCCCCAGGGGGGATGGTCACGCCGCAATCCCTTCTCCTCCATTCTCCTCTCGGGATCTTGGGCATGCACGCACACGCGCCCGGTGTGAGTTTTAAGCCACCGGGTCCGGGACACGAACCGCGGTCGACTACGTGGGAGTCCAGCGACATAGCCATTACGCTAACTGCTGGTTCCCGGACCTGAGTGTTTAATAACCTTTGCTTTCTTAGTCTCTCCCATATCTCCTCTTGCGGCCACACCTGATTGTCATAACAAAAAGTATGCGTCAGTGGTGGGTAGAACTGAAATGGAATTCCTTAACATAATGCCATCCATTTATTTTATTTTATTTTATTTTCTTAAAGAGATGTTTGCTCTAGGGCATGTGCATTTGCTGGAGAGACAAAGACAGGATGTGAGAAATCACCCCCCAGGGGATGGCCACACCACAATCCCTTCTCCTCCATTCTCCTCTTGGGATTTGGGCACGCACGTAGATGTGTCTGGTGTAAGTTTTAAGGTCTGGCACTCAAACTGCAGCTGACTATGTGGGAGTCCAGCAACGTACCTATTACTCCATGTACTGGATCTCATTTATTTATTTTTTTAATGCCAGAGAGTAGATGCCTGAGAGAGACCAGGCCCATTGCAATACTTTTTCCTTTAACTCTCCATCCTGTTAGGATCCTGGGTACTTGCAGGTGTGATCAGCCAGTTACCATTGGGGTCAGGATTTCCAACCCCCAGTCAGCCACTGGGGATCCAACTTCCTCTGCATAGCACTTGACCACCACACATGCGGCCAGCTCAGGGTCCCCATTTTGGATCAACCACACAAGTGTAACCGTTCTGCTAAGACGAACATGTCAGCGGCAGTTAGTACCTGCACAGTGTTAAGCAACCACCACCAGATCAAGTTCTAAACAGAGTCATCAGTCCCGTCTCCTTTAAATTCTCTCCATTTCTCTCCTCCAGTCCCTGGTTACTCCGCGACTGCTTCTCCCTCCACGAGCTTACCTATTCTGGGTATTTCATATAAATGGAATCATGTAACAGCTGTGTCTGGATTTCTACAAAGCTTCTCAAATGAATGACTGACACAAACACAAAAATGAAAGATTAGGGCTTTAAAAAAAAAAAAGTCATATCCCACAAAGAATAGAATAGTAATGAGACTTCTAGTAGAAAATGAAATGAGTCCTCAAAAGTCTGGAGGAAAGTTATTTTTGATCTAGAATTCAATATCCAGCGAAATGATCAATCTAATTTGTGGACAGAATACTTCTTCTTCTTCATTAAAAAAAAAAAAATGTTATAGTGCACTCTCTGGAGAAAGAGAGAGAAAGCAGCCCCCGGGGGGGGGTGACCATGCTGCAATCCCTTCTCTTCCAAGCCCCTCTCAGGTTTTGGGGTACATACGCACACGTGCCTGGTGAATTTTTCAAGCTGCCGGGTCTAAGACTTAAGCCGTGCAGTTGGCCATGTAGGATCCAGCCACCTTAACCACCAGGCCACCTGATTGGCACAATACATGCAAGTCTACAAATTTATATCTTCACCCACATACATCCACCCAGCATGAGTTTCAAGCTGCCTGTCCAGGACTCAAACTACAGTCAGCCATGTGGGAGTTCAGCAATGTAACCATTATGCCATCTGCTGGTCCCCAATAAATAATTATTTTTTTAAAAAATTATTTATTTAATATTACTATTATTATTATTTCTAAATTTCTACGGAGTGAGTATACTTCACCAAAGAGAGAGAGAAAGTGGTAAAGTGAGAAAGCAAGTCTCTAGGTCCAGGACTCAAACGACAGTCAGCCATGTGGGAGTTCAGCAATGTAACCATTATGCCATCTGCTGGTCCCCAATAAATAATTATTTTTTTAAAAAATTATTTATTTAATATTACTATTATTATTATTTCTAAATTTCTACGGAGTGAGTATACTTCACCAAAGAGAGAGAGAAAGTGAGAAAGCAAGCCACCAGGTCCAGGACTTGAACCACAGTAGGCCATGAGGGAATCCAGCCACACTGCCTGCTGACCCCTCCGTGCAAGCTTTTACAAAGCAGGTAACTCCAGGAGACGAGGATGGGGCATAGGGATTGGCCGAGGTATCTCCACCATGTCTTCCCTGAGCTCTTTCTGCTCACCTCCACGGGCGCTCTCATTATAAGAAGGACTTCGGGGCCAGCTCTGTGGCCTGGTGGTTAAGGGAGCTGGGTCCCTCATGGCTTGAGTCCTGGCCGCTGTGGCTTGAGAAATATGCTGCGTGCATGTGCGTGTGTGCCCAAAATCCCAAAAGGAGGGAGAGATTGACAAGAACGAATTGTGGCGTGACCTTGTCCCACAGGGGGCAGCTTTCTCCTCTCTGTCTCTCTCTGGGGGTGGGAGAGAAGACTTCCCAAACTAGTGATGAAGGGATGCCATCCCGGAGAGCCAGTCTGAGGCAGTGCAATGCGTAGGCCCCTGTGAATTCCTGGGATGGTGTGAGCTGCTGTCCTCAGTGGCCGATGACAATATGGGCTTATGGGACAGCCAGACCAGAAGTCGTCCATGGGGCTGTGGCTCCCCAGGGGCTCCAGTCCATTCCTGCACAAAGGGAAATGCATGGGCATTCCTCTATCCAATCTCTTCGAACCTGGTCCTTGTCACAGTTGCCCTTGTGACATCATGGCTGTCTCCTCCTCTACAATGCTTCCCACTCCTGCCAGGGCCAGGGGAGCAGCGACGGAAGGAGTTCGAACACCTGAACCCCAAGCCATGGGCAATAACTGTTGTGTAAGACTCGGTCAGATGCACTCCCCCGAGTGGCGGGTTGTCCCGTGGCAGAGGGAGGCACAGGCTCCTTCACGGGCCCCAGGAGAAGAATGGGGAGCCGGGGCTGTGGGGGTCTCATCCTCACCCACGTTCTCACACTCTGATCGCAGGCGTGTGGTGCAGAGTATGAAATAGAAGTGAGAGAAGAGAGGACGAAGAGGAAGAGGAAGCGGCACAAGGTAGGCGGGGCCCAGGAGTGTGAGAGAGCCGTAAACCTGACCCCATAACACTGCCAGGGTCTATCCCCAGTCCCAGGGGGTTGGCTCAGCATTGCTGTCTTGTCCCCACCTCCCTACCCTCTCCTGGACGAACTGGGTTAAGTGTGGAGACAGAGAGGGAAGAACAGCGTATGCACAGGCCACACGAAGCCGGGACACAGCATAGGGGACACAGAAACAGACGAGGCTCAGCCTGGGCCCGGAGGACCTGGGCGACTGAGAAGCAGCAGTAGAAGTGGGGCCAGCAGATGGCGTGGTGGTTAAGGGCACTGGACTCCCACGTGGCTGACCGTGGTTTGAGTCCTGTACCAGGTGGCTCACTTTCTCTCTCTCACTCTGTCCCTCTCTGGTCAAATTAGAAATACATAAATAAAGTTAAAAAAAAAAAAAAAAAGCAGCAGCACAAGTCAGGAGAGGGGAGGGGAGGAGGTGACCCCAAAGGACTGTGGCATCATGTCAGGCATTGGGGACATCACGGGCTGTAATGTGGGTCTGGACGCAAGCCCCAAAATGTAGGAAGTCGGCCTCAGGATTCTCTGGTCTTCTGAGTCGGAACATTCTCCCCTGATCCTGAGCCTGAGAAGTTCACAGAGCAAGCGTGTCCCCGTGACACAGACATGGACACTGCAGCTTAGAGACTGAGCAGACGTGTCCTTAGCCATGGCAAGCGTAGACGCACACCCCAGACAGGCCTCCTGGGTCTTCTGAACCGCGGGGGGAGGGCAGGTTGCTATGAGAACCATGTGCATTTGCGGAAAATAAGTTCACTGGGAGTCTTCCGCACTGGTTGGTTAGGAGACTGCTTCAAATGAAGACGACCTGAAGAGGACGGAGGCTGCGAGGCAGCTCCAGGCCTGGTGGCGCGGTGTCCTGGTGCAGCGGATGCTGCTGGTCGCCGCCCTCAGGGCCTGGATGATTCAGTGCTGGTGGAGGACCATCTTGCACAGGCGGATTCGGGCGCAGCAGCTGACCCTACTGAGAATCTACACCGTCCAGGAGCAGGCGGCCGTCCGGCTCCAGTCCTGGGCTCGCATGTGGCAGTGCCGCCAATGCTTCTGTCAAATGTGCAACGCCCTGTGTGTGTTCCAGGCCCCGCAGAACAGCCTCGCCTGCCACAACGATGACTTTTCACAGGTGCACGGCGAGGCCGCTTCCAAGCAGCCAGAGTTCCACATTGAGATCTTGTGTATCTGAAAGGCCCGCTGCCCCAGTAAATGGCTGACTAGGTTTGTGAGTCTCGGTGGTTCCCACGGCCACGGGACCTGGGGTCTCAGGCGGTGCTCCCCCTTTCCTCGGGGGAGGACTTCAGCTCAGGTACCCCACCCCACCTCCCCCAGAGCGTCTGGGCCCCGGATTGGACATTATGCTGCCGACTGATCAGAGATCGCGGCCCGAGGCTGTCCCTTACGGACAGCCAGGCTCGGTTCCTGCCTCCTGACCCAGTCAGGGAGCAACTGGCTTCGCATTACTGAAGACTCTGGCCACCTACTCCTAAGGGAATGACCTCTGAGATTTCCTCTGCCAATCTGCCCCCGGCCGGCTGGGGCTCGCACACTGGGTTTCTATCTGGCAGACACCCCCATAGGCACCTGGCTGGCTCTCCTGGGAGCTGTGAGGCACAGACAAAGCTCAGGGGTGGCCTTGGGGAGGGCCCAGCACGAGGTCTTCGAGCCTCGTGCTCGCTGGGATGCTGACGGGCAGGTGAAGCTGCGTTGGGGAATGGCAGGGATCCTGGCCTCAGGGAACCTCAGCACTGCCCCACCTCCCTCCTTAGCACCTGTGCTCCCCCACACTCGCAGGGTGCTGGACACGTATGGGCCTCCCACTGCTGTTACCTCCTCCCTATGCATGGCATTCTTCTTAATAACTGGCCGGTGGGACCAGCGGATGGCATAATGTTACGTTGCTGGGCTTCTACATAGTCAACCGTGGTTTGAGTCCTGGACCCAGTGGGTTACAACTCACGCCGGGTGCATGTGCGTGCGTGCCCAAAATCCCAAGAGAAGAATGGAGGAGGAGGCATTGCGGCGTGGCCATCCCTGGGGGGTGATTTCTTGCTTTCTGTCTCTCTTTCTCTGTTCTGGCGAGCGCACGCGCCCTATAGCCCAGATCTCTCAAAATATATAAATCACTGGGCAGTGCTCTTCGAGCCCTGGCCTCTCATCTCTGTGCTAGGGTGGTCAGTGTCTTCAGTGACTGCTCCTCAGCCAGTGCTTCCCAAGCTGTGTGTGGGAAAGATCACTTTTTAAAAATGCCTAATTCGGACTGGCCCTGTGGTCTGGTGATTAAGGGAGGCAGATCCCACGAGGCTGACTATCGTTCGAATCTCAGCCCTGGCAGCTTGAAAGACACACCAAGCACATGTGTGTGCCCTAAAATCCTGCCAGGAAGATGGAGACATGGAGGAGAGGTGACTGGGTGTGTTCATGCCCCTCGGGGGTTGCTTCCTCCCTCTCTCTGTCCCTGCCAGGGGAGGACATCCACCTTCTGACAAAAAGGTTAATTCACCATAAACCAATTCCTTTGTAACATCGAATTACAGGGTCCGCCCTGTAGTGCAGGGGCCAAGGGAGCTGAATCCCACATGGCCGACAAGTTCCAGTCCCTGCCCGACCACTCGAAACCTGTATGTGCATGCCCCAAATCTCAATGGGAAAGGGGACTGTGGCGTGATCACATGCCGTTGGGGGGTGCTTTCTCTTCCCCTCTCTCCAGTGAGTACACACATCCTATGGCAATAAAAAACATTTTTAAAAATGAATTAGGAAAAATATATATATGAAGAAGTCATGCAGAACATAAACAGTATTTTTAATTGAACAGAACACACATGACATTACTGGACCAAGGTAGCTCGGAAAAAACATTCTGGGGACATGTGGGTGTGTACCCCAAATCCTGAAAAGAGAATGGAGGACAAGGGGTTGTTGTGTGGCCATCCCCCTTGGGAAGTGACTTCTCACTTTTCCTCTCTTTCTCTGTCTCTCTGGCGAGCACATATGCACCCTTTAGAAAAAAGAGAAGAAAACAAAACAAAACAAAAACAAAACAAAAACAAAGACCTACATGCTCGTCCTCAATGTCTGAATTTATCTCAGTAGAAACAAGCAACTCACGCGTGGCTCTCGTCCACAGACCACACTCGTGGTAGCCTTGTCCTGGTTTGTCATCACTCCGAACTGACCACGGCAACGTTCCCTTCTGTCACCCTGCTCTCTCCTGATTGGTTGCCTTCTGCCCCCTAGGGCAGAGGTCAGGAAACTACGGCCCACAACCCTGTAAGTGTGACAAGGACTGTAGGGACATCAACCTAATGTCCCTACTATCTATCATGGAAAAGAAAAAAGAGAAGAAAACAAAACAAAACAAAAACAAAACAAAAACAAAGACCTACATGCTCGTCCTCAATGTCTGAATTTATCTCAGTAGAAACAAGCAACTCACGCGTGGCTCTCGTCCACAGACCACACTCGTGGTAGCCTTGTCCTGGTTTGTCATCACTCCGAACTGACCACGGCAACGTTCCCTTCTGTCACCCTGCTCTCTCCTGATTGGTTGCCTTCTGCCCCCTAGGGCAGAGGTCAGGAAACTACGGCTCACAACCCTGTAAGTGTGACAAGGACTGTAGGGACATCAACCTAATATCCCTATTATCTGGCTCCTTCCATGAGGAGTTCATGAGGAAGTCAAGAACCTGAAGCCCCTCACCCTGCTGCCACGATGACCACTTCTTTGCCTTTGGTTCTGTAATTTGTCATCCTCTGTGCCCCAGACTACAGTTGCCCACTTCCTCCTAATCAGACCACTCTCCTTTTGGCTTTGGGAATACCACCCTCTGCTGTTAGTTTTCCTCTTTCTTTACTGACGACTCTTATCCTTCCTGACGGTTTTTCCACTGACCAACCTCTAATCTCAGCCTACCAGAGGTCTGTCCTGGAGCCTCTCTCAGGCCCTGTTTAACTTCACTCCCAGAAGACATTTTCCAGTCATATGGTCTCGAATAGCTGCTGCATCCCGATGCCACCCAAATTTCCATCTTCATCCCTGATGCCATCTCTGAATCCCGGATCCCTAAAGTGTCATTTCCCACTCAACATTTTGCTCTGGTGTCTAATATTCTCTGTGGTGTGGCAGAGATAGCCCTTTTCATTCCCCACATCTCAGGCTCCCCTGTAAAACTTGCTTCTCCTTGTGCTTTGACCGCTCACCCAATCTGTGTAACTCCCATTCCTTCCTGACCGCTCACCCAAT